CACAGCAAAGAGATAACAGAAGTTTGGAGGGTTAAGGTAATTGCCGTCAGCCTTGGGTTAAGCAGATCAGGTTTCAGAGCAAAAGGGCTGTCTCCCAAGTGGGTTCCGATGTTAAAAAAGGGAGAATTCTTCAACTCTTTCTTAGCTTAGCTTTTTCTAGGAACTCCACAGGTTGTCTCCCTGAAGCAGAGAACCAATCGCCTCATTTGGGGAGGGGGTTGTGTAGGTGGGGAGCTCAGGCTCAAAGCCTTCACAAATGACCAAAGCCTTCACAAATTATACTATGGCCAATAACTTTTCCTAGGTACATATAACATTCTATCCACGAGTAGATTAATACCCAGAATCATCGGCTGAATGATTAGATATGAAATATGACATACCTGCTTGAATGGTTAAGGAGATATAATTTTCTGCTCTCCTGTGTATGTCAGATAGGGGGTGTAATATACCAGGCAATTTGTATTAAAGTGAGCCATCCGAATATGTGCTGCTTGTTTGTGTAATTATGTCCTATTTGAAGATATAAAATTATATGGAAAAGTGAGTTTTTAAATGTAAGTCTGTTTTTACGACTACCTGGAATGCCTTTGAGCCCAGTGATGGACTTGGTTTATGACTTTACGATATCCCAGATTGAGAAGTTAACAGACATCTAGGCCCAGCTCGGTTGGAAGTTTATAGCCCTGGAGCACTCCCACTGGGGCCTTTTGCCTTTTTAACACAGACCACATTCCTGAGTGAGGGGGGAAATTGGAGGAGGGAGCCTGATTTGGGAGTAGACATGATACAAGATGGAAGATCCTTTGCCAAAAATGGAGGTTCGCATCCATCTCTGTGTGCACATTTGCTATATCTGGGTGCATTGAATTGCTAAGCTTTCTAATACCATTATACTAATTTTGACATTTCCTGGTAGTGTCAAAAACTAGCCCATTCCCTGCCATGATTTTGGAGTGGCCTATCAATATGATAGGCTTACTGTCCTATAGGAATATACAGGACAAGATGGGCAGGTTCCCAACAACAGAAAGTGTTGAAATTAGCATATTGGAGTTCCTGGGATTTGGCCACCTAGAGTAAAATGACACCATAAGCAGGTATCTTTTCATGTCTGCTTTGTAGTGCTGCAGTCTGTTGCATACCACAATGGCACTGACAGTTTTTACCTAACCCACAGTTGACTGGCTGATCAATATTATAAAAGGGTACTACTATGAACATTTTCATATAATAGGGATGAGATGAGACTAAGCATGTAACACTGGCAGGGGTGCTTACAATGATCAGCTGTTTATGGTGAAAATGCTTAAACAAATTAACGCAGCCACCACATCTAATGATTGGTAAGCTGCAATATATTACATTTTTCATTTTAGGTTTAATATCACTTTAATAAATGGAAGATAACTATATATGCCCATTTTAGTGTCCACACATTATTTTTTATATATTCAGATCAGATGTGTATTTGCAATTGGTGTTTGCAGACGCTGAAGATCTGTGTGAATTCTGCTAGAGAAGAATGTCAAATGTAAAAATGACTTACAATGAAAATCTCTTGAAATGTTAACATAGCAATAGCCTATGTCATCTTATGCCTATGTTTATTTTATTAGTGTAGACGTATTTGCTGATTTTATAATTCTGTCTTTCTGACATTTATATTCTTGCAAAACACCAGCAAATACCAAGTCAAAGGTAATCCTTGTGTTCTGCCCTATGAGTTGATATTAGAAACTTGTTTTAGAGTTGATATGCACTATGAAACTCTGATCTATGCATTCCACTCTGTAGTCAAAGATGCCTAGAGGACTAAAGTGATATGTAGTACAAGAACAGACTGGTAATGCGATTTATAAATGGTTGTCCTTTTTTGTTTTTTTTGTTTTTTTATGCATCAAAAAACATTTTTTTTTTTTTTAATGTTAAAGCTTACATGCAGACGAAACAAAAAAAAAAAAAAAATCAGCACAAGGGATAGTACTTACCATCAATGCCAAATGATGACTATGCTCACCTTTTCCACTCTCTATCCTACATTCATAGATTCTGTACTATAGCTTCTATAAGTGAAGAGTTATCTATGAATGGAGGACAGGGGGATGAATTACAGGGTCACCTATGAAAACATTTATGTACCATAGTTTGTCGCCATTTCTCAGGCATGCACAAATTTTGTTGTTTGGCTTTGGCTGAGAAATGTAGGCTGAGGCCACTCCAGACTTTCAAGCTGCATAGGCTGGATGGGAGAGCACCGATCCTTCTCACATACATTATGCCCTTTTTCTGGATCAGCATATGGATGCCAGCACCTCAAATAAGCTTTTCTCCTGCTTCTGAGTTTCTTTTGCCTACCAATCACGTTCCCATCTTAGGGCTTTGTTAAAACAGTGGGCTGCTCCCTTTTTGAATTTTGCAGTATTGTCTTAAAAAATAGTCTACAATACCATCAAAGGATGTGCCTGTCTTTAATGACCCCACTGACAAGGGATTGGATGCCCTTTCTAGAGTTCTATTCTCCTTGGTTGGTCCTACACTGCAACCTGTCTTAGCGTTGACCTCAATCTGTCAAATCCTAACTGACTGTTCTAAGGCTATTAGAAGGGATCTGATCACCATGTTAGTTTAACCATTGGTCCAAGAGTGGAACTATAGCCTCATGCTAAAGCATAGACTGGTTTTGAGGGTCTTCTATCTCAATTCCCTTTTGAGTCTTATGTCAGTAAACATGAATAGGACTCTTTGGCTAATGTGTTGTATTGAAGAGCATGCATCTAAAAAAACACTTAACCCACATGGCCTTTGAGGGAAAATGTCTTTTTGGGGCTACCCTGGATGTTCTCATCAAGAATTCCACAGGTGGCAAGTGTACATATCTTCCTCTGCCAAAGAAGCCTATGGTTCAGCCTGGGAAGGTTCGCACCTCATGCAAGTCCAAGAAAAGTCTTTTTTTTTTTTTTTTTTTTTTTTGCAACTTTAACCTCCTCAAGTCCAGATCCAAGTCTGGTACCTGGTTCTCTAGTAAACTTTGGGATTTCAAGTCCTACAAACCCAGATAAGACTTCCTCAGCACATGGGTGCACACCCAGTTTCCAAAGTGAGGGGAAATTGGCTAAGCTTTGCAGACACGTAGACATTCTGTATTCTAAGATGTTTGGGTGCAGGATGGGGTTTCTAGAGACTACAAGCTAGAGTTTTTGCTCCCAGTCGCCTCCCTGGATTGTTATTTCCAACCTGACTGTGCCACTGCACAGATTAACAGATCTAAATGCAACCCTAGCAGGTCTTCTAGGACTGGGTGTTATTACCCCTGTACCTGTGATAGAATGTTCAGTTCCCAAGCCAAAAGGGAACATCTGTTTAATCTTGGATCTCCAGGCCCAGAAATGAAATGACGTCATTTAGGCCCAGAAATTTTGTCTGGAAACTGCCATGTTTGTCATAGCCTTTCTCCATCAAGGAGACTTTCTGGTCTTTGTAGACTTCAAAATTGAGTACCCATTTTTCCAGTGCACCAGTGATTTATGTGCTTTGCTGTTGGTTCTCTGCACATTTAGATTGTTGCCCTGCTATATAGCCTGTCAGCTGCACTGTGAGTGTTCACCAAGTTGCAGACCCTAGGACTAGCATTACTGCACTTTTAGGACATTCTCATTATGAAATATATAGATGACCTTATGCAAAAGGAAGGTTCTGTCAGACAGCATAACCTTGACTGGATCCTGAACCTTTAGAAACTTGGCACTGGATCTAGTTAATCACTTAGAGTAGCTAGGTCTAGCCCTAGACACAGCTCAAGCCAGATTTTGGCTTCCTCAGGAGAAACTATACATTTTCCTCTCTGACTCATATTCTTCAGTCAAGGAGTTGCCTGACACTTCACTTCTGCATGAGAATTCTGAGGCTGATGATAGCCTCCTATGGGGCAGTCCTATTTGATAGCTTGTGGCATTTAGTAACCATTTCGAGAACAATAATATACTTAAAGTGATTGTAAAGTTAAAATTGTGTTTTGTTTTTTTTTCCTTTTTAAATAACAAACACATCATACTTACCTGCTCTGTGCAAAGTTTTTGCACAGAGCAGCCCTGATCCTTTGCTTCTGGGGTTCCCCTGCCAGCATTTCTGGCTCTTCCCTCTTTCTAAATGTCCCCAAAGCAAGTCGCTTGCTATGGGGGCACTCATGCAGACTTATTCACTAGCTGGGCTCTGTGTCAAAAAAAAAAATTTAATATTTACAACACAGTCTCTGATAAACATGAATTACAAAGTTTCCATTTAGTGAATATAAGTCCCCTATGAAATAGTTGTTCTTTCGATGAATCATCAGAGGCTGGGCTTCTTTTTGTGTGCATGTCAGCGCAGATGAGCACTAAGGATCGGCAGCGGACTGTGCTGTGAGAGTACCTTTATTCATTGGAATACACAGTACTCCAATGAATAAGCGCTGAAGCGCTGTTGCTATTTACAATGAATGTGCTTGCAGCTGCAACAGACTGGCATTTGATCCGTTTCTATATCACAATATTCCTTCTGTTTCTCTTTGTGTTTGGTATTTTTAGATGTTTATTTATATTTTTTATATGCAATTTTTTTTATATGATTTATACTAATTTATACTGTTTGCTGTGGAGTGGTTTTTAGATGATATTTTATTGAGCTTTGACCCTTAGTAACTACACTGTTCAAAAAATTAAAGGAATACTGTCACAAGTTAGCCTGTAGCCTCCTGTTGCTTTGTCTTACCTCCTTGCTGTTTGTGTTTCCTTCACATGTGTGTTTCTCTCTGCTCACCTATGGGCGTCGTCTGCTATTCCCTGGGTTTTATGTTCTTCCCTTTCATCACTTCCTGGCCCGCCTCCTTGTCTGCCTGTCTATTTAAGACCTGCTCAGTCTCTCCCACATTGCCTGAGCAACGTTTGTTGTCTGTGCTCCCCAGTGGTCTGCCAAGTATCAGGTTTAGTGGTTCTATGTACCGACCCCAGCTTTGTCCCTGACTTCTCTCCTACATAGTCTACCTGTGTACCAACCCCGGCTTCGTTCCTGACCTTGCTTGTCTTCCGCCTGTCCCGACTTCAGCTTGTCTTCTGGATCTCCTAGTCTACTTCCATTGCACCCTTCTCCTGCTAGCGGTCTCTTCTACCACAGCTGGGTGTACCTGGGGGCCGCGACCTGGTTCCAGCCTGCTCCAAGTCCATCCCCACCATCAGGGGCTCTAGTGAACAAGCAGGCTGGGGCTTAGACTCCGCGCCCTGGGGAACCCCAAGCTGTGGATTAAGAGCTCACCACCACAGGTGCTGACAAATACTTTGAAAACACATCAGTCAGGGTGCCATTGTTTAGCCTGTAGAGGTATGTGAGTCCCTCCATGGATATGCCTCTCCAGACCATCACTGACCCACCACCAAAATGGTCAAGCAGAATGATGTTACAGGCTGCATAACGTTCTCCACGACTTCTACAGTCTCTTTCATGTCTCTCACGTGCTCAGGGTGAACCTGCTCTCATCTGTGAAAAGAAGCAGAGGGCGCCAGTGGCGGACCTGCCAATTCTGCTGTTCAATGGCAAATGCCAATCGAGCTCTATAGTGCCAGGCAGTGAGCACAGGGCTCACTAGAGGATGTCGGGCCCTCAAGCCACCCTCATGAAATCTTTTTCTGATTGTTTGGTCAGAAACATTCACACCAGTGGCCTACACCAGAGGTGGTGCAAAGCAGAGCCATTCAAAGCAGTGTGCTTACAGTTGAAAGCACAGACACAGCCCACAGTAAAACAACACACAGTTAACCCTTTGATCGCCTCACAGGTTTACCCCTTTCTGTCCAGTGCCATTAGTACAGTGTCAGTGCTTTATATTAGCACAGATCACTGTATTGGTGTCACTGAAGATGTCATTAACACCAAGACAGTTCCCCCCCCCCCCCCCCCCCCCCCAGTGTCAGAATGTCTGCCGCAGTCCCGCTATAGGTCGCTGATCGCCGCCATTACTAGTGAAAAAAAAAATCCAGTATATATACCGCCATTCATAGATGCTACAACTTTCACGTAAACCAATTAATTTACACGGTATTGGTATTTTTTTTTTTTTTTTTTAGCAAAATACATTTTGGCCTAAATTTATGATGAAATTTGATTTTTTTAAATTTTTTTTACTGGACATGCTTAATAGCAAAAAGTCAAATATATTTTTTTTCCCTCAAAATTGTCATCTTTTTTTTTTTTATAGCGCAAAAAATAAAAATTGCACAGGTAATCAAATACCACCGAAAGAAAGGTCTATTTGTGGAGAAAAAGGACGTAAATTTCATTTGGGTGCAGTGTTGCATGACTGCGCAATTGTTAGATAAAATAACGAAGAGCTGTAAAGCAAAAAATGGCCTTGTCAGGAAGGCTGGTAAATCCTCTGGAATCAAGTGGTTAAAGTCATAAAATGTGCTCAACATATAAATATACTGTGCTATCATAGTCCAACATAAATTAAAATACCATAAAGACCACCGTGGGTTAAAAATTATACCACAATCATGTACCAGCCAGCTTATAGTCATGCAGCAGCTTACCAAACATTCAGACCCAAGAGCAAAGGAGGTCTGACAGCGCTTTTAATGACAAATCCCGAATGGATGATCACTGCCTTCACCCCCTCACTGTGCAGTCATTGTGCCTTAAATCTCTCTCTCCAGCAGCATGCCACAATCCTAGATTGTAAGCTCAAAAGAGTAGGGCCCTCTTACCCCTCGTACGTTGTTTGTTATTGTTGTACTGTGCTATGTATTGTCCCCCCCCTATTGTACAGCGCTGAGCAAACCCTTTGGCGCTATATAAACTCGATGTAGTAATAATAATAATAATAATGTCACAGCACTATAAAGCATACTAGGGGGAAAGCAAGGAAATCCAATAGTGAAATATGTTTAAACACTATTTAAAAATTCAGTGGGTACTCACAAACAATAAAAGAGCATATCACAAGCACCCTATGGCTCTCCAGATGGATGTGATAACTTCACCATTAGGCTCTGCTCTTTGTCCAACGGGTTGTCTTCCAAGGGGCAACAGCGTTACCTCACAGTGGACTTTGATATTTTCATTTATGTTCCACTTTGATACTGCTATATATTTATATGTTGATTTTTTTCGCCACATTTTATGACTTTGATGCACGTTTATTATCTTTGAATGACAGTGCAACATATTTTTGGGGAATTTTACATATTTTTTTATATTTGGTGTTTAAATATCAGTGAGTGCTATAGTCATACTGATTTATTTTTTGATAAATACACTTTTAGCACAGGATTTCCACTTATTGTTTTAATTATGTTAGCTTCATCTAAGCAGGGGGCAGTCACTGGCTCCTTAACTACTTTACTTGGAAAGTTTACATATCCTGGCTCATTGGCTGTTTCATTTTTAGCATTTTCCCTATTCTCCTTACCAAGATACATAAAGCCGAACTCGGCTCTCAGCTTGTTTTATGTGGCTGACATAGTCTGCTTACATTAAACTTATGAAATTACTACCTGAAGAAAATTTGCTCTGCTCATTCTTATTCATCCTACAAAAATACAGCAAACAGAGGCTGATATCTTTATTGTGCAGTGAATGAAAAGCAAGGTTGTGTATTTATTTTACAGTATCAGTTTTATGCAAAACTACGCAGGACAGTCAAATTCAAGCTCCAAATAGTTTTACATAAAAGAGAAGTATTGGGGAAAAAAAAGCTTAGCATAGCAGAGCTACTCCAGGCTCTGGAAGGATCCCGACGATATTGTTTGGATCCACCCAGCTGCCAGATTGACAGAAATCTCCGCCTCTCAGTGCATGGCTGAGAGTTGGAGCCAGCCACTTCTGCCTCTCCTCCTGCCCTGTGTTCCAGTGAGAGCTGGTGGAGAAGAGTGGAAAGCACTGACTGACAGTCACTGCTCTCTGCTCAGAGCACACCAAGAACTGAGCAGTCATGTGGTCACATGAGCCAATAAGGACTGCTGCAGTATCATAAAAATGGAGGTAAGTATGAATGTTGTATGTTTTTTTTTTTTTTTCCATAAACTACAACCTTCTCCTTTACCAAAAAATGTACAATCCTGTTCAAGTTCCGAGGTAACCCTGCCAGATAGTACAGTACAGCACTACTTGACTTCTCTGCAGATTACACTGCGATTCAGCAATACAGTCTAGAACCCTCCCTAACAAATGAGGAAAAGGAGCGGTGGAAGACAGCAATACAATTCTTTATTGACTAAAAAAAAGAATTCCTGACAAAATAGGAGTTTATCAGTAAAATGATAATTTGATGCAAAACAATTATGATTCCACACCTTAACAATTCTGTCTGCAAAATTAACAAATATGAGAAGGTTATGAGGTTAAAAAAAAAAAAAAAAAAAGTTGCTTGCCAATCTTGGTGACTCAAACATACTTGTCAATAGGTGGTGGCAGTTGCTGTCGGTATGCTTGTTCACTGATGCGGTTTTTTAAAGGGGATTATGTACATAAAACAGGTACTATGTAGAAATGTATTTTTAGTTTGCATTACTAAAGCCCAACTCCAGCTAAAGCTTCTACTTTAGGTTTTCATAAAATGGAAAAAAGTTAGAAATTCTGTCATGTTTTCATTGCCGGGTGCACAAGAAGAAAAGCACGAAAAACAACTTACAGTATATAAAGTCCAGATGTAATGTTATCCAAATTCTTCTCATGAGAAGTGAACACATTTTGGGGGTTCAGAAGAAATCTGGAGAAATCATGCTAATTACTCCTCTGGATTATTCCAGTTTTATCAGGCCTTGGCACACTTTGTTTAACAGAACCAGGCCCTGATGAAGGTGGACCTTTGAATCCCGGAAAAAGTGTTTTCTTTCTATGATAGATCTGGACTATAGATTTTCTCTTTTTAGTGCTTTTTTCTTTGCGCACCCAGTCCATACTTGAACAAAGAACTAATCTTTTGACAACCACTTCTGATGGAGCAGCCTAAGGATAGATGTTCCCTGTACATTGCTGAGGACACTACTGCTTTATGAGATCCAGAACCCCATGTCTTTCTTTTTCCCCAAGGATTGTATTGCTGTCTGTAGTGCTACTGGGGAGCTCTACCCCCACCTATTGGCGCTTTGACACCAGGACAAGAAATGCAAAAGAAAGGGTCTTCCTCCCGAGTGTTTTTGTTGCCTGAGAGATATCTTCTTATATTTGGACTCTGTGCTCCCCACCCCCATCACCAGCACAGGAAGTGAGAGAAATTTGTTAAACAGAGACAACCTATAGCAGCCATTAGAGTCTATATAAAAATGTGAACCACTAAACATTTTCTTTTTTCATTATTTTTATTATTTGTATGTTAAAAAATAGTAATAAAAATGTATACATTGCTAAAAAAGAAAAACAACTTGCAGTAGCACTTTTTTTTTTTTTAGTTGTTTTGTTAATGTATAGAACCCTGTTGAGTAGATTTTTTTCATCAATTTCCTGAGTAGACATTGAATGAAAAGAACCTCTCCAGCAAGGAAATACTGTAGCAGTGAAATGGCTTTTTAATACAGTGAGAATTAATTAAAATATTTGTGAGGTTTTTCACTGCTCTGTATTACCTGTTGGTCAGACTCCAATCACTTCCTATGTGGTCACAGGGACATGCATGGATGGGGATAATGAAAACCTTAGGGTCTACAACATTTCCACAATTTAAATAGACCTAATTAACATGTTTTGGCTGGAGTTCTGCTCATTTGTGTGTGACCCAAAAATGTAATGCATACACATGGCTACATTTCATTTATCCCCCCCCCATATATCACTTTCTATCCCTGACCCTGGCTAGACTTCAAACATGTCTGCCTTTATTCACCTCCATTATGTGCTGGGTGATTGGATTAGTAGCTTACAAAAAAAGAGGTAAGAATGTTTTTTACTATCCGTTCAGCTCACAGGAAGTGACATGGACACTGCATTTCTGGAAGGATCAACATGTATGTTCTGTACTTGCTGAAAATTGTTCTTAGTCTAAGCACTGTAGTCTAAGCACTGATAAACTGCTATATATTTTTGCTTTGGCCTGTTTTAGATGCACATAGAGTGCTTGCTCTCTCCAAGCTAACAAGGTTGTCTGCTAATTATTTAAGACTGATGAAGGAATGAGAGTCTGATGATCTGGTCAGATGTTAATTGATACAAGCACACAGTAGATAATTTAGGATGCTACTAGTTTTGGCTTGTAAATGTCTCTTATTAGCACCAAAC